ATAATACATCTTACGTAAATATTGAAAGAAGTCAATGAGTGATTATCAGTATTTAATTTTAAAATATAACACTAACATGTGTTGCAAAAAGAAAACTCCTTACAAAGTGCATCATAATAACAAAAAATATTGTTCTACCGTCTCCTTTCAAATATTTATTTTATTTTATACAGGTTATTTTGCAACAAGTAATTAATTATTTTTCTAGTTTACATGACAGAGACTCATGGAATGGAGTAACCGAATATTCAAGAAAACAAGAACCTAAACCTACTTTTAATTTTTTAGAAATTTTTTGTGAATACACTTTTGAAATTTTAGTCAAAATAAAGATTTAATTGTTTATTTTATATAATTTCATGTCTTATGTTTTTTACTCAATTCTTTTATAGGTCATAATTATTTTATTTTTTTGAATACGCAATTTTTTTATTTTGAGTAATATTGTTTTTTGATTTATAATTCTCTATTTTCAATTTTTTTTTATTGTAAAACAAGAGGTTAAGAGATTTAATATAAGTATTTATGTTACTAAAAAATAAAAGAATGCATATATAAAGATATAAAAATCTATCTAATAGAAAATAAATATTTACATCACATATAAATAGTTGTTTTATAATATTAACATAAAAATATATTCACTAATAAAGAAACTATAAAATTTATTTATTCATATCTTTAATAGAAAATAATATTTACTATTTTATATCGTTTAATTAGGATAATACAATTTAATTGTTACGTGATTGATATGAGATTGATTTTTTTTTAAAAAAATTATTTATATATGACATAAATACAAAATATTTTTCACAAAAACATTTTCTTTAAATAAAATTATATTAATCTTTAAATCATAAAGTAAATGATAAATAATAAACATATTGTAAATATTTTATAAATTTTACAATCACCTATTGTTGAGTAGGCTTATTATTTATTGATAATATTTAAATTTTACTTTTATATTTAAATTTAAAATTATATTTTTCTATACAACATGTGTTACAAGTACAACTATAATTTATTAAATCTATATAATATTATTCTTATTAGTTATTTACATTCAAAGAAGTTTTTTAAAAGATATAAAATATAAAAATATTTTTAATTCTTATTTTTAGTTGTTTTATTGAGTTTATTATATATTTTTGTTTAAATAATTTTTCTTTAGACAGAAGAGTATAATTTCTTTGATATACACATATATTTTTTTCATTATAAAATTTTATTGTGACCATTTATCTTTTATTCAAATTCTTTCTTTTAAATTTATACACATTATAAATATTTAATTCATTAAAATTAGTTTTCAAATAAATTTTTATTTTTTACAAAATACTTTCATGCAGTGCACGGATTAAAAATACTACTACTACTACTATTATTATTATTATTATTATTATTATTATTAAATCCATTATTTTCTTTAAATTTCAGATTCAAAAATTTAAAAGAAAATAATGTGTCAACTCATCATTGCCTAGTTTAATGTCGTTGTTGTTTGATTGAATCTCATGCGAGACAAGGTTATCGCTGACAAATTATCTGTATGTTTAATTTCTCTTATAATTTCCAAGTACTTTATACAGAAAGTTATTACATTAAGATACATTTACCATTTGTGATATTTGAATATTTGTTTTATATCTATGTATGAACTTTGTTTGATAACTGCACATTAAATTTTTGTAATTTTATATTACTAATGTAAAGTTATATAAGTATATTGTTCTTTATAAGTATTTTTATTTTTAGACAAACGCGAGTAATAGGTGGAGATGGATATTATAGTATCCTACCCATACTCATTCCATTGTCATTCCTAATGAAATAAGATCAATAGTCACAAATTATCTACACTTTGCTTATTAAAAAATATTAATTTTCTAAGTCCCTTACTTATAAAAGTTAAACTAAGGATAATAGAATCCGCCAAAAATTATGATGTTTTCTAATTATTTTCTGATAATTCAAAAGATGATTTTTTGAATGAATTCTAACATCCTACCCTCTTTTTCTTAAGCAAGGTTTTTCAATCATTCACAACAGAAAATTTTATGTGCTTCAAGAGAATGGCTAGGATTTAACAATTAGATGATAACTTAGTAATGAAGCGTAAAAAGGTAGATGAGACAATAGCATTCACTCCTTTCTTGTCTTTTTGCTCATTGGCAATCTCTCCCTATTGTCTATCCCTTTGTGTGCCTAGCCTTGTATTCCACTGCTTTTCTCTTCAACTCCACAACATTGGATTCCAACAACTCGTCAAATCCTTGTAATTGTCATAAAATATCATGGCTTTTTGCTAATTTGTTTGTATGATAAACAACTATGCTTGTTATCGCCGGCTAACGGCTTCTCAAATCATGAATTTCTTCCTTTGTGGGAAAGTCTCCTCTTTCTTTGTCTTTAATCAGGAAATGTAGTCCTCATAACTTGGGTGCATGCCTCTCTCTAGCAATGGCTTTTCAGATCACAAATCTCTCACAAGTTTCTCTATAGGAGAGTCTCCTCTTTCTTCATCTTTAGTGAAGAGGAAGTGTATGTCTGAGAACTTAGATGTATGCCTCTTGCCAACGACGAGTTTTCAAATCACAAAACTCTCTCAAGTTTCTTCTTCGGGAGAGCCTTACCTTTCTTCATCTTTAATGAAGAGGAAGTGTAGCTCTAAGAACTTGGGTGCATGTCTCTCTTTCTTCCCTTCCATTTCTATTGCTTATCAAAGTTAAAGGGAGGATGTTAAAATCATTGGAAGAAAACTAAGGTATTTTTTTAGTGGGATGAAGACTCAAGATAATGGTGTTTTGCTTGGTGAAAGGAATCAAAAGTGTTAATGAAAGAAGAACCTCACCCAACATTTACCTTTTTACCCTTAACTATGTCATAATTATTCCTAACCATCAGATTAAAAATACAATAAATCAATGATCAGGAAAGTCTCAAAACTTGGATTAAGGAGTATAAAAAAAAGGATGTTATAATTCACCGATTTTTTGGGTTATTTTCAGTACCCAATTTTTACCCCTTCGTCTCTTTTTATATTTTTAGTTTCGCTTAGGTATAAGTAAATAGTCTCTAAAAATATATATTTTTTAAATTAGTCTTTTAAATTATTTTTATCATTTTGGTTCTATTAAATTTATTTATTTTTAAATAGTTTTTACAATTAATAGTCATCAAATGATGACTAAGCAAATAATATTACATGCAATACTTGTCATGAGGAATGCTAGATTTAGACATAATACTTAAATAAGCAGTTAGTCCTTACAAAATATTATTTTTTTAAAATTAGCCTCTATTAAAAAAGATGTTTTAATTTTGTAAAATTTAAATATATTCTCCATCATTATATTTAACATTAAAATATTTCACTATTGACAATTTGTCAACAGAAAATATTTTAGAGTCTTCTAATTTTTCTATTATTATTGGTACAATAGAAATAGGGCATATTCTTATTGTTAAATATGAAATTAGGACGCAATGATCAAAATAGTAGTTTAGTTTGTGAGAGAAAGAGATAGAATAATATTTTGAACTAAGAGCATGTACAAATGTTCATAGTTTGCATGAGAAAAAAGATTAAAAAAATTTAACATATTAGAGTTGGAGAGTGTTGGTTCGAAAATTTTAAAGCAATTTTGGTAAAGGGCAACAACATTACCTATCTGGGAAAACAATTTTTGAAGACAAAAAGGAAAATTTTCATACTTCACAGAGAACAGCTTCTTCTACTCATTGAAATTCTCTCCACAAAATGATATTTATTCTCAAATAACACTACCTCAATGAGTATTTTTATTAGAAAGATGAGGTGTAAGATGTTGTTTAAATAAAAAATGTTGATTCAAGAAATAATGGTAGGTTTATTTTCAAAAAAGTTAAAATTTTACAAAATCAGGATTAAAACAAAAAATTAATAGGGACTAATTTCAAAAAAAAAAAAATTGGACCAATTACTTATTTGAGCTCTATCACGCTTGAAGCTAGCATTTCACATATGATAAGTATTACACAAAGCAATGTTTGCTTAATTACTACTTATTTTCTCTAAGTTGGAATTATTTTAAAAAATAATAAAAGTTTACAAACCAAACAAATTTTATAAGAACTAATTCCAAAGAAGTATATTTTTAGAAAATATTTACTTATTTAAGCTTTTTAGTTTTTATTCCTAATAAACCTGCACATTAATAAAAAAATTTCAACAAGAATACACAAATTGTAATGTAAAGTCTTGGAATGATTACATACTAAATTGAATAATTGAGTATATCACACATGTAAACACAAAACATCTCAACCTAACATCCAATATTATGAAATAGTTGAAAGATAAAGACGCCATCTCCATCTAAACATAGTCAAGCGCTTATAAGTTAGTCATATTACGTAAAACACAAGTCGACCAACGATACTAAAGTGATGAAGGATATTGATGGGTATTAAGTTGTAGACACCAAATTTGATGATGAGTTTAATTCTAATAAAAACAAACACCACAAAATTCTCCGTTTAACAACATATCGAAAGTTATGTTGCGGAATTTAATTTCCATTGGGATAAACACGAATTCCAGAAATTAAGTTCCGAAGAAAGCTAATATTTGTAAAATAGTGTAAGAAACTAAATTTCAAGGCACTATCCACTCCCTTCCGGAAGTTTGTTTATAGAAATGTGTCTATGAATTTGGAAATAAATGTTTGGATGTTTCCTTGACACACCATTGTTGACACTGATAAAAACGCAGAAGAATTACGGTGTTTCTCAACGATTTCTCGACAATAAATGAAGCCAACAGGAAGCCTTGGTGCGAAAGAAAATAATGTTTTTATCTGAGCAAGAAGATGACGAGTTGCAGGAAAACGAAAAGAAAAAGGTGTTTTGGGTAGAAATTTAAAAATAAAAAATAAAACAATGTGTAAAAGGGAAAACATAGCGCAAAAAGTAATGGCTAGATTTCTTTTGCGCCTATATTCCGTCACCATAATAAAAAGCCCATTTGTAAAAACCTGATGGCCAATAAAAAAACATGAATGTGTTGTAGATGATCAATTATATATATTGGAAAAAATGGGTTCAACCCTATTTTTACAACAAAAATGACCTCATTAACAATTATTTATAGGCCAAAGAATATTGAGTGGACTTGTAAATGAATTTGCAATAAACAAAATATTCAATTGCAATACTAATTTGTAGCCCTCCTCAGATTGTCTTACTGAATTCTGCAGCCTTGTTCCTCTTGTCGGAGAAATATCAAGCCTCGTCTAATCCTCTAAAAGAAAAAATGGAAAAAGGGGCTTTATAAGGTGGTAACAAGAAAGCAATGTATACAAATGTAACTTCAGAGTAAAATGCATTATCAGAAAATCAAATTTAACAATCCCCCCCACTGATTTATTCCTATATGTTAAAATGGCTTAATACCTCCGTGGTATCTCTTATGCGTAGGAGATCTAATCGTTCCGAAGGCCTCCGATTGGAAAGGGTAGCCAGCTGCAATCAAACCCTACAACATTAGTACATAGCAATGAAAATAGGAAAGGGTGATGTATTCACCGACAAAGAAAAAATTGATGTCAAGTCACATATATATGTACCCAAAAACTAAAGCGCTCAGGGTCTCTTGGTGAGGGCATCATTACTTCAACACTGGCGAGTTTCTCAAGTTTTCTTTGATCTGTGTGAAATTTTGTGTTGTTTAGTACTGCAGCAGTCTATTGTCATTTGTAAAGATACAAGGAGGAAAAATAACATAAACTACAGCATCATCAAAATTAACAGATTCCTATGATACTGTCGGAAGTAATTGTTCAGCATTTTCCCCCCGATTTTGGAGAGAGATATAGGCAATGACCAACATATCTCAGTTTTCACTTAGAATGAAATGTACAAAGAAATCCTATGTACGCATCATATAATTATGTTTTAAAAATTACCATGTCCTGCTGCTTCTTTAGCTCTTCCTATCCATGATCGAGCACTTTCGGCTGCATTATAGGTCAACTCCTGTAACTGTAACCACATAACAATAGGGTATTACTCAGAAAGATGGAGCAATTTGTTACAGTATAATGCCTTCATTGCAAATAGTCATCAGACTTGTAGCCAAGGCATAACATTCAAAAATAAACCACCGAGGAATCTAAACTGAGGACTATCAAAGGTCTAATTATTCAAAATTCCAAATTTCACATTTGGTCAGAAAGGAAAAAAAATAAATAAACTACTTGTTGCAACAAAGCCAAAGGTCAGTTGACTTACAAGCAATGCCCAATATTATAGTAAAATTCTAATACCCAAGAATGACATTTACATATTGCATCACCAATAACTTGTGATATAGCATTCTTGAACAGTTGAATTTACCAGTTGTAATGTATGAGTATTATCGCAGCCTACACTGCTGCAAGCTTTGTACATGTACGGCGATGATCATATATATTAGTATGCAGTCAAACATGATAGTATGCTTACAAAAATATATATATCAAAACTTTAATGAACTTACAATCTCTCTTTCTCTTGTCCCTTCGGTTGGCATAATGTCCTGTATCCATTCAACCTCTGCAACACGATACCTGAATAAAACATGAAAGTATAAAGCCATATTTCCATAAAAGAAAAACAGCCAGATCAACAGGAAGAGAATTTAAGAAAAATAACACCCCGAGACAACTCACCCATCTTGATCCCAAGAACGGATTATGCGAAATCTCCTGCGACTTTCAATCTGCATGTAGCAATAGTTTTCTTACAAAATTGAAATATTTAAAATATTAAAGAAAAAGCACATATATTTGAATAGAAACTGGTCCTAAGTATCCTAGGACCACAAACACCAATCCTGCAGTGACAAAAATAAAATGAGAAACACCATGTCCATGACTACTGACTCTTGAGAGTGAACGTGAACAACTCACCAATTGTCCTCGAATTCTTAAGAACTGGCAAGTATATTTAGAGAAGCAAGAGTTATAGGCTTCAATAAATTGCTTTCTAGATTCATCAAATTGTTAGAAAATGATGTGGTTAAAATTTTAACAATATCAAAACAGTGCAGAGTGCAGACAATCAGCAGTGACAAAATACAGATTTTTCTTCATAATGGAGAGTTGTACAGTTTAAAATCAACAATAATCATTCTAACTTTTGAGATTCCACATTGATTATAGATATGATTGATTTAGAGCTTATAAAAACTTAGGAAATCCTCACTCATAAGCTAACTTTAAGGACTGAGTTAGGCCCAACCTATAGTCTCAGAGCTTATTATCGATTTGATATTGAGTCACCCTCAACAACAACAATCAAGTGATATCCCACTAGATGAAGTTGGCTACATGAACCATACAATGCCATTGAACTCAGTCAAAAACCAAATTCTCAGAAATATTACTACTCGATAGATCTTTTTTAATAATTTTCTCTAAAGTTCTTATGAGTCTCTCTCTACCTCTTTTTAGTGGACTAAAAGTCATGTTATACACTCTCCTCGTTAGTGCCTCCAATGGCCTTCTTTGCTTGTAACCAAATCACGTTAGACGATTTGACATTTTTTCTCACTTTTTTCTTGTGATGTGTCTTTAAGGTCCAGTATTTATTACCATATAAGAGAGTTGGTTGTATTGCATATACGTTTGTTATCTTGTTCTTTTTCGTAACTGCTCATTCACCTGAACATTCTTATTTTTGTTACTCCCACTTATTTCTCGCATTATTCCTTTAAAGTATAACATTCATTATCATATAGGATAGCTAGTTGTATTGTAGTACAATAAAACAAATTTTCAGTTTGATAGGCATTTTATGGTCATAAATAACTCAATATTTTTCTCTACTTTAACTACTCATCTTGTATTCTATAAGTAACATCCTCATTATTTTCCCATCAATCTACAGAATTGATCTCAAGTACTTGAATTTAGAAACTTGTAGTATAATATTATCTCACATTTTAACTTCTAATGCATTGTTCTTATTTTGTTTTTTTGCAAAAATTGCAATGTATATACTGTCTCGTTTTTGCTTTCAAAATCTCCCTCCATAATTCAATTTTAGCATGTTTAATTCCTCAACCAGCACTATGTGATCCCAAAGAGCATGCACTTAGGTTTGACTTTTTGTATGTCACCCTCAACTGTTCAAAATCAACCTACCCCTACAAATTTTCCAATACAATTAACCTTACCTGATGGATTTCTCAATGCAATATGCAAAAATAGAAAATCATTCCTACCATCTCCACTCAAATCTTTAATCCTAGGGGTGGAGGTATTGAGATTCCACATCAACTACAAGTATAGCCAAAGTAAAGCTTATGAAGGTTTAAGCAATTTCGACCTCATGAGCTACCTTTTGGCTTTTGGGGTTGTGTTAGACTCAGCTCAAATTCAAAACTACACACACACATGAAGTGAGGATTGTGTAAGTCTTTATAACCTCTATTCAGTTATCTGTACTTGATGTGGAATGTCAAAATGTATAAACCCCCGTTGATAAAAAGGAGGTCCTCCTAAATAAAGCTAGACAAGGAAAATCCAAACAAAAAAATGTTCTTTCCCTCTAATTTCTGGGTTGAGCACGTTAGAGATAGGGAAATCATTTGATATTTTGAGAATCTCTTGTGATATGGAGAATCACACCAGAGAAATGATCTTAGAAAATAAAGAACAATTGAAAGAGACCCTGCCAAAAATGACAAAAGAGTGAAGTGTCTTTTTCTTCAAAGCTGAAAGACAAAATTTAACTTCTAAATTCTATCTTCACCAATTAAATGCCATAACTAGAGCAAAGAAGTCCACATAAATACATAGATAAATCAGTTAAATTTTCACCTCTATATAAAAACGACCATCTGGAAGCGGCTCACACCTACAACATCAAATAAAAATGATTTAAAGCAAGTGACATACATGAGCAGGGAGGTTGGGGAGGGGATATGCATTTGAGATTTTATTTTTTCAGGTGAGAAGGATGCCGATCACCCACTCTGTGATTTCCACTTCACAGGCAAACTCAGCTAAGGAACCAGTTGAAGAATCAATTATAACCTACAAGATCAATAGGCAAGTCACAAACAGTAAAAGATAGAGATGATCGTGCAAGCAAAAAAAGGGAAAAAGGGATAAGCAGAGTAATCTACCATTCCCATCCGACGATTGCCTTCCATTATTCTTCTTACCTGTTTTATTTAAATAAAATGTTAAAACAGAGATACAATGACATTCAGAGTTTCAGATCATTTTATATTAGTACCATGTAGATAATGGATTATTCCATGGATTGAATACTCAAAATAAATCCCAGATTACTGTCTACTGACAGGACAGCTTTTGTGCAAATTTGAAAATTATATACATAGCTTACACACTACATATAACCAGTCACCAACTATTCCACACACTGCTCTCCATCATGTGCTATAAATGCTAGGTCAATTAGCTTAACTGCAACCATTCAAATTCTTTCTAGAATCCTAACAGGTACTAATGTTTTGTACAAAATATTATATGGATGATATATTAAGAACCCAATTTGTTCTCTTCAGTTCTGTATAATTATTTAAAGGATTGATTATACTTTACCCCCTTGTAGTTTCACAATTTAACAGCTCACTCTTCTACACTTTTTTGTATCATTGAACCCCCCCTAATGTTAAGGTCATAGTGAAATTGTTATAAGTACAGTTAAGACCTAGGTATTCATTTACCAACTCACCATGAGTCTATATCGAGCTTCAAATATATTAAGTGGAAACCTTTGACAAGGTATAACAACATCCATGACAAAAAGAGGGAGTAAATCTACACCAGCATTGATTAAACCATCATGCTCTTGCTTCCTTTCAGCATATTCCTCAGGAAAGTTCTTTTGTATGATGTTCTTCAATGTCACACTAGAAACAGTTGACAAGAACATTTTAAAAAAGATAACAGTAAATAAAATATGTTAGAACTTTTATTTGACCATAATATCTAACAATTAAACTGAATTCAGATGAATATATACTCATAAGCCCAAAAGAATTGCCAGATATAGATATCAAAGGGATTCACCATTTCATCAATTACCAAAAGGGTGTTAGAAACAAGCATATTTGTCCCTATCAATTTGGAGCAATACAATGTCTAAATCTCAGTAATTTCCCATTGCCTGTGTGTTTGGCAATGGGCTTTCAACATAATATAGTTAGAACAGTGAATAACTACCCTAGTACCAATTACAAGAAGAAAAACAAAGGAAGTAACCCAAAGCTCTATGTGGTCACCATACTGTGACATTGCAGAGTCCATAGACAACTCACCTGATCGAACATGTTCTGGGACTAATAAACAGAACTGTCCTGCACAACGGGCATCTGTTCCCTAACACACAAGGACAAGAATCAGCATAACATAGAATATATGGATTCCCATGGAAAATATAATCAACAGTAGACAGCACTAACCACAATCCATTGACTGATATAGACATGAACGGCAAAAAGAATGTCCACATGGGGTTGTAACAGGTTCATACAGTAACTTCAGGCATAGAGTGCAATCAAAGTCATCGTTTCTCTCAGGTTGTCCATGTGTACTCATCCCTGTTGAACTAGATGACACTCTTTCCAAATTTTGAAGAGAAGCTCGAAGAGAATTACTACATGATATCAAAAGAAATGAAAAGGCACTCACGATACAGTATAATAAATAACTATAGCAAAAGCTCTGTATTCTTATAATCCATCTAAATTTCAAAAAGGGGTATACATAATAGAAATAAAAAAAAATAAAAGGCTTGCAAATGTGTATACCTAAAAGGATCAACTTGAAGGCCAGAAAGAATAACATCCCGAGCTTTCTCATATTTCTCCAACTGTCAAATCAAGACAATATCATACCAAGTAACATTCAATATGGACACCATCATAATGTAAAAGAAGGCCAGGGAGGCAAGTGTAAGACTTAAGACAAGAATGTGCAATTGAACATGAGCAAACACACAAGTTAGCAGTCTTTTGTATCATAAAATGCTTAAAATCCTATAGGACATACACAATAGATGTCATTCAAGAGCGTGATTAATCAACTTATTCTGAAGACAATTATTTATGCCAGCTTTCCAAGAGAAATTTTGAAACATGAGCAATTATTTTCTCAAATAATTGATTCCAAATATGCCATAACACATCTGGCTTTACACAAGCATTTAATACAACTAAAACAATTTGATGCTGTCCCTTATTATTCTTTTGAATCACCATAATATTAGTCATGTCCAACTCCACACTAAAGTAAATACAGACCAAGGTAGGGAAATCCCCTCAACTAGTAACATGAGTTATATAACACAAAAGCATAAAAAGAAAATAGAAGTTGAAGGACAAATATATAAATATAATAGGCCTGAAAGAAAAACAGCCTTGCCTTTATCATATTTCAACAACTGTCAATTCAATACATATCATACCAAGATTCATATATATATATACACATATCCAAATTGGTAAAATGACTTTTATCAATCTAACCATTAAATTTTGGGTTCGCATAAAGTAGATCAATTCTCCAAAATTTCACAAAAATTAAGAATTAATCAATGCTTCTTCGCCCCACTTTATTTCAACATGTGGTATGTTATTTAAAATATAAGTAAATAGTTATTATTAGATTACATATTTACGGATGTTTATATCATGTAAAATTTTATATACATGATTATCATGATAAAATTACATGAATCAATAGTTAATTAATCAAATTTTCTTTAGATAAGAAAAAGTTACCCAAAGTGTTATTGTTTTAAGTTTGACAACTTATATCATTTAATCTTGTCATATATAGAGAGAGAGATGGCAGAGTCAGAATTTGTTTACACCAGGAGTAAAACTTGAACACTTACATGATTACATCACTTAATAACTTTTTATAAAATGCAAGATTAACTAATTCAACCATGAAATTATCTTATATTATTTTCTTGACTATATATATTAAATTTCATGTAATTTTGATAATTATAGGTATGTTATGCAAAATTTGATATTTACTTATATTTTAAAAATATATCACCCATTGAAATAAAGTAATATGACAAAGTACCTAATAGTTTTATTTTATAAAATTTCATAAAGTTAATCTAATTGATAAAAACCTTTAAATCAATAGTTGAATTATTTAATCTAGCATTCTACAAAAAGTTATTAAGTAGTCTAAGTATTCAAGTCTAACATCTAGTATCAACAAAACCTAACTCTCTCTCTCACACACACACACATTAGGCTACCCCATAAATTAAAAGGGAGATTAATTGATTAAAAGAGCATGAGACTCTTACCAAAAGAAGAGCATTGGCCTTTAAAAGATATGATTTTACTGAATTACTTTGAAGTTCAACAAGCTTCTCAGCATCCTTCAAACCCAGCTGGAAATGGTAATCAAGAATCAACTTAGTATCTGCAAAAATCAATATAGAAGTGTGATAATATTTCAGCATGATAAAAATGGCACAAGTAGACATACTTCAGCAAGTGTTGTGGGATCAAGCCCACTCAAGGGCCTACGTTCTGAAGATGATGATGTTCTGTGCATGAAAAATTGAGTAATCCTGAGATGAAAATATTATGATTGCCATGAGACCACAGAACAATTCAAAACTAAGGCAAAACTATTCCAAAGGTAAAAAGAGTTAGTAACAAGTAATTATAAAGAAAACTATTCAACTTTGCTTAACCTAATATAAGCTGTGCTTCGATTTCCAAGGATGATTGGATCACCCAATTTGATGTTATTGGCTCTTGAGTAAAAGTTGATCGCCTGAATGAATAAACACAAAAGCCAAACATCAGAAACTATACATGTATCCGTTTTCAGAACAATACTGGATGGAACAAGATCCATTATTTCCAATTGCTAGACATAAAGCCATGACAAACCATGCACCGTTTGGTTTGGGAAAATGGTTTCTATTTTTACTTTTAATAACAAAATATCACCTTATCTTAATTTTATTTCCTGTTTTAAAAATTGGTATAGAAAACAGTGAAACAGCCCCCAATATTCTCATTCACATTTCACACTTTAAGAAAGTTTAATGAATCATACATGGGGAAATAGTTTAATGAAAAGAATAACTCTATATGCTCTTGATCTGTCCACCTAATTACAAATAAAATATTAAATTTCTTTTTATGTTTGCATCCCATTAAAGGCACATACTTTTTCATTTAATAATTTATTAAGCAATACGAAGAGATACCATTACTCTAATAAAAAGCCAGTCTAATACTTACATTTCTTTCGTAGAGGAAAAAGAAAGGAATTGTGAGCCATTACCATGTATGAATGGACTACTATCGACAGAAAAATCAACAACCCCCCCCCCCCACCCCAATATATATATATATATATATATATATATATAACACTAATTTATCACCTCTTCCATTCTGTTCTCTCGAAATGCTGCATTGCCATTCTGCACAAGCTCATAAACACAATGAAATGTGTCCCATGACAAGCCTTGTGGTCCATTTTCCTGCAACCCAACCAAAGTTCAGCATTCACTTTCCTACGTTAGTTCTCAACAAAAACATCAATCTGTTGGAACTATAAATTTACACCATCCGTTTTGAATATATGACATGTAATGACTAAACCGAAACTAATAAAAGAAAAGCAACCGAAGACCCAAACCTTTCTAACATAAGCCTATGTCAATAAAAACAAAGAAAACATTCCCTTTGCTTAGCAAAAGGGTTTATTCAAAGCTCTGTTATGACCAGACACAGAGAATGTGATGACTGAGGAATCAATGTTCTCTAATCAGAAATCTAGCCATCAATGAAGAAAACTATATATTTTTTATCTTGTGAAAAATCATAACTCGCGATACAGAAGAAAAAAAAACATATCGTTTAAAAAAAGGATAAAAAAGTAGAATCACATTTTGAGTGTCTTATCCTGTCCTCGGATTTGTCACCTAAGCATTTAAGTGTTAAGGTGAAAATGGAAATCGTGATAACAAGAGGGTTTGTCTTTTCGTACATTCTTCTCAGCAACTAGACACGAGAAGAGGTAAAAGGCAAACAAAAAGAAACAAAGCTGTGCACAGCTGCATAGTATAGTAAGAACAAGCACTACGGTTGACGAAACGAAAGCCAGAAAGCAGCTAAAGCACTCGCAAGATGAAAAAAAAAAAGATCATTCACTCACTTCATCTCGATTTCCCAATAATCACAACTCCTAAAACAGTAAAAACAAAAGAAAAACGGCATTGGAGGAAATTCTAAAATCGAGGAGTTTCGCTTGAAGGAACGACATGCGGAAAAGGCGACCTAAAAGAGAAGAAAAACTAAAATGCAAAAAGAAAAGCACAACAGTAAGAAAACAAGTGATTGTACAAAATCGATGGGCGTGGGTGTAACATTTTGTGAGCAACGACACAGGCGAAGGAGAAAAGAATTGAGAGAACTAACCAGAACGTAATCGTCGACGTCACGAAGGGCATGGTCGAGGGAATAGGGAGGTGATTGAGAAGCCATTGGGAGAGTGTGAAAGAAGAGAGTGAGAGATTGGAGGCTATGAATAGGATGAGGAAGTTAGGGGCATCGTGTTCGCCCCTCGCTCCTTCGTTGCATACACGGACCAAATTCCACTACGTCTTCGCTCTTTTTTTCCCTCCCTGTCGTGTCTATTACTATTGCCAACTTCAATAAATAAAATTATTATTAATAAAGGAAGAGGAATTGAAAGTTGAAAATGAAGGAACGAAGAATAGGCATTGGGTTAGTAGTTTAAGCTCTTCTTTGGAGAGTGGAGAATGGTGATATATGTATTTGTTGTAATTAGAATTGAGTTGTACGTGGACGTATATATACCCGCGTGTTTGTGTGGACTATGGACGTGGGTGGGAGTGTTGTCGGGCCCTATCTGTGTGTATGGATGGGATCAGGGAACAACCGACGCAAAGCCATTCAATTGCATTTTGCATTGTTTGTGTCATTCTCCACCTTTGACCCACGCCTCTACTCCTTTCATTTCTTGTTGGACTTGGAGCACAGTTACTTCCCAGTTTCACTTTTGTTCAGCTAAAATTTAAATACATTTAATGTTGTTTTAGTTATTACAATTACAATTAAAATTAGAACTTTTTAATAAATTTCAATGTTATTCAATATAATTTTAGTTCAAATAAAATTTTAGTTTTAATTAAAAATAATACTAAAAATTATATAACAAACTATTACTAAATTTTGATCTTTATTCACAATTACACTCCTTTTACTTATGTGATTTGTTATACCTTTTTTCAGAAATGTTAATTTAATATTTTTAATTTTTTTAAAACAAATTTGAAATTATTTCTAACCAAATAGGTCTAATATTTATATAGATAAATGGTTTAATTAAATATTTATTTAATCAAAATTTATTACATTTCATAAATAATTAGGATGGGAAATAAAATAAAATTATTAAAATTAAAAAGAATGTTTTCCTGCAAAAAAAAAAAAGATTCATTAGAATCGGACGGTAAATACACTATTTTTCATATGCCCATTTGGTTTAAAGTTAATTTTAACAAAAATATTTCTGAAATTTGAACCATTAAACATAATTGAGGTATATATATAAATTAATCCGAATTATATATTTTTATTAAATTATTATTTTGCATTGAAAAATGGAAAATTTAATTTTCGACCGAGAAAAATTTATACAAGTGTTATAAGTCAATTTATAAATTAATCAAAAAATTTAATTCTTTTATTTTAATTAGTGTGATTACAGATAAGATAAATTCAAATAAATTCTATTAAAACTCTTTCAAAAGTTTTACTACCTGTTCACTTAGCCTCAAAAGCACATTTTCACAGTAAAATATTTTTCAGCAATAAAATTTTTGTTTAGAAATTTTCAACAATATGTAAAAAGTAAAAGTGACTTTAGATGAAAATAATTTAGTTGAATAAAAGTGAAAAATTACAACCCTGACTATTGATTCTAATGCCGTGTATATATATATATATATATATATATATATATATATATAGGTTTTTAAAATTAATTTTTTCTTTGTTTTTACCATATAAAAAGCTCACTTTTAAAATATTTTTCTCAAATATAAAATATTTTTTTAGTTAAAAATTTTTAATAGTGATTTTTCAAAATTAATTATGTTGAAATCTAAAACAAAAGGAATCCAATAAATTGACTTCAATCCTATATGAATAGTATACATAAGATGTTTTTAAGCCCTTTATTGCCCTCACCCTTTTTTCTACCGGTGTGAGCGTTTCTAACACGCCATTACCAAATTCATTTGGAGATTTATATCTTATTTTGATTAGTTTATTTTAAAATTGATTTTTTTAAAATTATTTTTTCCGAAAGAAAATAAACATATAGTAGTAGGTTCTTTTAAATTCTTCTTAAGCAACTAAGGGTTACCAAAGTATGTATGTTTCCTTTTTTTTTTACATTAACAAGAACTCTTCTATATATTGTATATTCCCGCTCTTCTTTTATACATTAAAACCTTATAGTTAGTTAGGAAAATTAATTTTCCAATGCTTAAATTAATTATAGATAAGTGCCTCGTATATCTCAAAATTTTTAAAAAAATGAAAGATAAATTATGTATTAAACTCTGAATATATATTACATGAGTTATAATTTTATTTAATCTTCATTTCGTAGGAAAATATAATGTTTTAGCATGTTAATGACGAGTGGATGAGAAGGATACAGCGGAAGCCGTCTCATATTCGTTTTGACTTTAGAACGGCAACCGTCGAAGATGAAGGAAGTACTATGGAACAAAGCCCATGCGACAAAAGTTTAAGAAATGCAAAACAGGTAACAGGTAACAGGTACCAAATAACATTCATAAACAGTTCCTTGGTGTTCTTTAGTCGTCGATTCTCCTTCTTCTTGTGTGTGACAAACGAACAAATATTTGTGATCCATTGGTGATGATAAACTGCAATAACTCAAAAGTTAGAGAGTAGAAACAAAAAATATCATGGATGGGTCTATGTGGTTCTCATGCTTTGTGGACCAATTGGGGGTAACATATTATCCATTTTGTTTTGTGCTAATTGGACAATATTCTTTTTATACTGTCCAGTGTCCACAATTTCTTTTTCTAGGTTCGGCTGTTTTAGGGGATGGATTGGACGTGCCATTGCCAAGGGGGAAAGGATTAATTACTAGTCCCACCATTACCAACAACCACTTGATAAGAGCATTAACGATGATCACTCAGTAAAAAGAAAAAACAAAATTCAACTCCGTGTATATATTTTGCTTCATCTCTAAAATTAATTATTAAAAAATTATTTTTAATATATTAAAAATTATAAAGAGAATATATTATAGCATTTTTAATTAATATATTTTTAATCTTTTAATTAATACTCTTAAGATGTCAATTAACATGGGTCAATTATGTTTAGAGTCAAATTATAAAAATTACTCTCACATCAACGATATCTAAATATTTATAAATATACTTATTAATAACTTTTTATGGATATTGATTAAGATATTAAAAAATATATTATCAACGCACTTTTATTATAATTTTTAATTAAATGTTTTAAAAATTTATGAATTTTTTTAACTAACTAACTAGTAGTAGATGCTATACACAAGTATTTTATTTTAAAATAAATATTTATAAAGTAATAAAATTATTTGAAATGTTAACTTTTTTAATATTATTTTAAATTAAATCTATAACCACAAATAGTATGTATTAAGATTTAATGAAATTATAATAATTTTAAAATAATAAAAATAATATATTAATTTTAAAAAAATTGAAAATTTATATAAAGTAATGAGAAAAATTTTATAAATATAAAGATTCACAAATAATCTGTAAATTTATATAAAATAATAACAAAAAGTTAAATAATAAAACTTTTTAAAAAATTAATAAAAATAAAATTATTATATATAAAATAAAATTATATAATTCATACATTATTCTAAAACAATTTTAAACTTAAAAAATATATATAATAAAATATAAAAACATTCATTCCACTGAATGATTGAATATTTTATTTTTCAAATAGAGTATTTTATAACATTGTTTAATAATAGTTAGGTTAAAATTAGTTTTAAATATTATCAATAGATGTTATTTTAAATAGCAAGTGACTTAATATTGTTTAAGTAAAGTTTTAAATTTGAGTCTTTATATTTAAAAAATATTTAATATCAAATATTAAATATTAAATATTTTAATAAAAAAACATTTATTATTCTGCAACTATTGATCTTAAATAATAATTAAAAAATTATTTTAAAACACTATACGAGAATTGATTAAAATTTTAAAGGTTGTTTTCCAGAAAAACTTAGGTAGCATTTAATAGGAGATTTTTTTTCATGTTTGGCATAAATCTAATGTTCTTAAATATAAACCCTTTTATGTTACATCTTCAATTTATTATTATTTATTCAAAATATTTATTATTATCTTATTATCATAATTAAAAAATATTTGAAATTTTACAACCTTGCTCATATAAATCTGACATATAATATTATCTTTTTCCTAAAAATTTATGTATTTAATATTAATAGATAGAATTAAAATTTTTATATATAAATTTATCTTTTTACATACATACATACATCCTTTTTTCTTTTAAATATACTGACCTCCAATATTAGCTTAATTGATAATTAACATATTAATTTAATATTTATCATGTGAATATTTTTATTAATCGTTATTAAAATCTATTAACAATAAGGTTTAATGTAATAGATTTTTTAATAACTTAATGATTAATTAATTTTTTATTAAATTAATACAAAAATAATATCTTGTTGAAAAAACTAAATGTACATTCAGTACTACGGTCACCCTTGATTTTATGAAACAAGATATAAATTCACCTATGAAAATGCATGAAGTCATGAATTTTGATGTGTACCAATTTGATTAACAATTTGTTTTTTTAATTTCAACCAACTATCTATGACCATTGAAATTTCATAGGCTAAAAGAATTATTTAATTTTTCGCACACATTCCTTTTGTAAATAGTTTTTCTACGATTTTATTTGTCGCCACTAAAATTTCTTCCATGACTAGACAAGCACTTAATTCAAATCAAAATTACTTTTATAAAATTCAAATTATTTAAAATTAGTTAAATTTATCAAGAAGCATCCTATGTTATTTGTCATGGAGATTAGTTCAAATGCTTTTTTTCCTTCAAGCGAGGTCATCAAATTTTATGTGATCGATGTACAGCTTTCTGTACAAGCTGACAATTTTGCACTTTTCACATGTATAAATTGTATAATTTCAAGTCCAGTTAAAAATATTTATTTATTTTATCAATTATTGTTTGACCATATAGAATATTAGTATATGTAAAAATAATATGTTTGACTCACTATTGTCACTTAGTGTATACAACTATAATAATGTGCTATGCTTTCTTTCTTGTTTATTTTTTAATGCTTTTAGATTTCAAAGAGATTAGTATTATGTTTTGATGACTTTTTAATAAGACCTCAATAATATTGTAATTGCTTGACTGTAATATTAAAAATGTTATAACAAAAAAATTAACACGATTTCAAAGAATTCATTTATGTAAATGTTTAAATTATTTTTTTAAAATAATATTATATCAATTTTTGAGAAATTTAAAAACTAATTATTTTTCATAATTAATTATTTTTAAACCAATTACATTATGAAGTCAAGTCTTTTGAAATGAGTGTTTTTATGTTATTTTACAGTTCAAAATATTATTAATTTAATTTAATTTTAAATAAGTCAAGTTTTTCAATAA